GTCACCTAACAGGTGACACTGCAGTGTCCAATCCAGGCATCCCATATGGTCACTGGGTAGAGTCTCAGCTGCTTCACTTCTGGTCCAGCTCCCTACTAATGTCCCTGGGAAAGCAGAAAAAGATGGCCCAAGTGTTGGGGCCCCTGTACCCATGTGGGAGACCCAAATGGAGCTGCAGGGCACTGGCCTAGTCTGGCCATCGCAACCATTAGGGAACTGAATCAGCAAATGGAAGATCTCTCTCTGTGTAACTCCGCCTTTAAAAAAAGTTATAAATAGGGCCTGGCATGGTAGCATAGTGGTTAAAGTCTTCACCTTGAAAGTGCCAGGATCCCATATGGGCGCCAGTTCTCATCTCAACAGCCCTGCTTCCCATCCAGCTCCCTGCTTGTGGCCTGGGAAAGCAGTCGAGGACAGCCCAAAGCTTTGGGACTCTGCACCTGTGTGGGAGAACTGGAGAAAGTTCCTGGTTCCTGGCTTTGGATCGGCGCAGCTCCAGCCATTGCTGCTGCTTCGGGAATGAACCATCGGATGGAAGATCTTGTCTCTCTGTCTCTCCTCCTCTCTGTATATCTGACTTTCCAATAAAAACAAATAAATCTTTAAAAAGATTATATATATATAGTGTGTATGTGCATATATATATGCCTTTTTAAAAAAAAAATTACAACGTGGGCATTTGTGTGAAGTCCAAATTGCCAAGCGATGTTCTCCCACTAGAAGCTTTCCAGGAGCAAGTATTCCTCAGTGTCCCAAGTAGCTGTCCCTGCATTTTACCTACCATAGCACCCCACTTAACTGGGGAGGAGCCATTCCAAGAGTCTGCCAGTACCCTACATGCTCTACGTTGCCCCTCTACATACACATCCATGATAAAATTCAATTTGTAAATGAGGCTGAGTAAGGAATTAGCAAGATAGAACTATGATAACAATAGATGGTGATAAAATTGCTAGCAACCCCACGCCTGCACTTTGCAGCTGGGCTGTAAACACAGGGTGACTTGAACACAAGCTCTGTTATACCACAGCGTCCCCTCTGCTAAGGGGACAGCTGCTAAGTTGTCAGCAGGGATACGTTAGACAAAGCAATGATTCATGCCCCAGACTGGATGGAGCAGGAGGATGAGATACTTCTTCAGGCTACTCAGAATAGCACCCATTTGGAAATCTCTGTGCTGTTTATTTCTAGAACGTTGCATTTAATTTTCCCATTGGCCATAGGCAAAACTAGAATCTTGTGAATCATGGATGAAAGTGGGGATGGGTGACTGAATTGATTTTTCTTTTTTTGTAATTTACTTTTATTGGAATGGCAAATTGAAAGAGAGGAAGATACAGAGAGAAAGATCTTCCACTACTAATTCACTTCCTAAGTGGCCACATGTTTCTTTCATAGGTTAATATAGAATTTGGTGAAAAGACCTAACAAGGAGTCCATTTTCAGCTGAGAACCATATATATATATATATATATATATATTTTTTTTTTTTTTTTTTGCTGACACCTTCCAATGGAGAGGACGCAACGTGTCCATCTTCAGGTCTGAGGACCCCACACATAGCTCCTGTGAAGGGATGGTTCTGTCTCCAAGAGACAAGAAAACCCCTACTGTTCAGGCAGAACAGGGCACTTCCAGGGCAAGCAGGGGGAGGTATACCAGCAGGAGAAACCTGCAGTGGCGAGCAGAAGAGGCCTCCGCGAAGAGTTTAGCAGATTCCCCCAAGACTTTGTGCCCATCCGTGTGCTCAGGACTTCATGCTGAGCTGTCATGGATATCAAGGACATGCCAAGTGGCGGGTCTAGGAGGCAAAACGCCAGCAGGGCAGTACAAAGGTTACTTCAAAGGGAGAACTTTTCTTTTTTCCAAGGTGAAAGTAGACTCCACTGGAGCTGGTGTTGCAGCAGATAAAGCTGCAGCCTGACATGTCAGCATCCTATAGGGATGTCAGCTTTTGTGCCTACTGGCAAAGCAATGCTGTGGCTCCTGCCACCTGTGTGGGAGACCCAGAGGAAGCTCCTGGTCACCCTCCCTGTCTCTGTAACTCCCACTTCAAAATAAGTAATCTTTAAAAAGAAGTAAACAGACTTCTGGGAGTTTCCTAGCTGTCTGTTTACTCATGGAAGCAGGTGGATGCTCTGGAATTAAGTCCGGAAAACCATCGCCCTCCTGTGTCTTTCACACACTCTTGCCTCTGAGGTTGAGCTCAGAGAGGGCAAATGGACCAGAATTTTGGACAACTGCAAAGACGGGCTGTTCCGATCTTTGGTGACTGGGCCCAGGACATCCCTCGGTACTGGTCGTGTAGGTTTTACTGTTTCAGATCTGCCTGCCACAGCTCTCTGTCTAGGATTTCCTGTCACTATCCTGCAGCCCCACAGAGGGTGAAGCCTGTTTTACTCTTTAGTGTGTTGTAGGGACTGGTGGAGGAGCGAGCGAGGGGAAGCTGGGGGCGGGGTGAGGGACAGGGAGAGCAGCTTTCTGGTATACCCTTGCCCTGCTCTTGTCATTACCCCTGAAAAGGCAGTGCTGCCAGGTTCTGGCCTGTTAGCTCCTGGGCCAGCAGCCCGCTCTCCTCTCATAAATAACCAGTTGTCAGGGATTTTAATGGAAGCCGTAAATTTTGCTACTCCTTCTGCCTCTTCTCCCTTATTTGCATCATAATATCACTCCAGAGGGATTCCTGCGTGGACTGGAGCCTGGCAGAACAGATTGTTAGGACGCTAGGGGAAAGAAAGAGGCGGGGAGGTGGGGAGAGGAGCAGTTTTGGGACAGTTGGTCTTAGGAAGCATCTGCCGGGTGGCCGGTGGACAGTGGTCACCTGGGCCCTGAGGACCTTGGAGAGGAGGAGGGGCCATCAGAGGCACAGAGAACTAGGTAACACGGAGAGGTTTCTGGAAAAGTGGCAGATGGGCTGCCAGCTCCTCCTTAGACCCCAGAGTGAACACACGCACCTCACCAGCCAAGGTTTCTAGCACCTGCTAGGGGCCACCCAGCTACAGCCTCCAGCCTCGAGCAGCAGGCTTCGGTTTCCGCTGTTGGAGGACCCCAGGTGGGAAAGGTGACAAAGATTATTTACATGGATATCTGATACTTAATAGTGAGAGCTCACTAAACAGCAGGGGTGGGGGAGGGGACAAAGGTTTACACTTTATAAGGATGCAGGTGGGGGAGGGGGCTAAGGCTGCAAAGGGTTCACACAATATTTAAAGGATGCTGACAGAGACTCTCTGACCTTCCCAGAGACTGAGAGACCTTCCCCGGGGGACAGAAGGTTTGGGGCTACTGCTTTATTCAAGTCAGGGCAGCTCAGATAAGACCTCTCCCTGCACCTGCTACAGACATTCTCATTTTGACTTCACCGTCCCTGTTGAGCCGTCCCGCTCACAGCTTCTGTTTTTGTGACTGGCCTCCCCAGGATCATGCTGATCAATACTAGTACTTTCTTCCACAATGACTTCTTTGTGTCTCTAGGGCGACATCCTGAGAGCACATTTATTAGCACTGTTTGGTGGGAAAACCCTGATATTAGTAACACCTGCTTATCTACTTCTTTTTAAAGATTTACTTATTTTGAAGTGGGAGTTACAGAGAGAGGGAGGGAGAAAGAGAGAGTGAAGTGAGAAGTGTTCCATCGGCTTGTTTACTCCTAAAATAGTCACAAGGGTCAGGCCTGACCAGGAGCTTCCTCTGGGTCTCCCACACAGGTGGCAGGAGCCACAGCACTTAAGCCATTTTCCATTGCTTTGCCAGTAGGCACAAAAGCTGCCATCCCTATAGGATGCTGACATGTCAGGCTGCAGCTTTATCTGCAGCAACACCAGCTCCAGTGGAGTCTACTTTCACCTTGGAAAAAAGAAAAGTTCTCCCTTTGAAGTAACCTTTGTACTGCCCTGCTGGCGTTTTGCCTCCTAGACCCGCCACTTGGCATGTCCTTGATATCCATCACAGCTCAGCATGAAGTCCTGAGCACACGGATGGGCTAAACTCTTCGCGGAGGCCTCTTCTGCTCTCCACTGCAGGTTTCTCCTGCTGGTATACCTCCCCCTGCTTGCCCTGGAAAGCGCCCTGTTCTGCCTGAACAGTAGGGGTTTTCTTGTCTCTTGGAGACAGAACCATCCCTTCACAGGAGCTATGTGTGGGGTCCTCAGACTTGAAGATGGACACGTTGCGTCCTCTCCATTGGAATATATATATATGGTTCTCAGCTGAAAATGGACTCCTTGTTAGGTCTTTTCACCAAATTCTATATTAACCTATGAAAGAAACATGCTCTGCCTGCTAGTCCTTTTCCTGTAGTCTGGCAGGCAGAAGTCTGGGCAGAGACAAGTGCGAAGGGAAATTCCTGGAATCCGATTATTACCACCATTCCCTGAGAACAATCAAATGTTGGAGAAATCAACTCTCTTTCCCCTTAAGCCTTACTGACTCTTCAGTGGGTCTGGGCGGTCCTCTCATACTGGCTCGTGACTCAGTGAGCCAGCGAGGACCACCCAAGCTTCTGAGAGTCCAGGAAGGCCCAGCCGGCTTACCCAGGCAATTATACATCTGAGATCCCAAAGCAATCCAATGGCCTCACACTGCGCCTTCTGCTTCTGCTTTTGGATATTTACGCTCCCCCATGGTCTAAATTCCAGGCGCTCCACCTGTCCCGCAGCCCGAGCTGGGAGCCAGGCGTTGCGGATGCGCCCCGAAGGTCGGGGCCCGGGCAGCACCTCCCCAGCCCCGGGCGCACGGGGCAGGGCGGGGACCCGCAGCGGCCGAGCCCCTCGCGCCGGGAGCGCAGCAGGCGCGTCCCTCGCGTCTCCAGGGACAACCTGGAGCGCGGCCCTCGGCCGGCACTGGGGCGGTTAATCGGGTTCGGGGGCGGAGGGAAGGGGGCGCGGCCACCCGCTGCAGGGCCCAATCGAAGGCCTTGGCGCTCCTTTATGCAAATGTGAAGGCCGGCGGACCCCAAGTTAGGAGGAGCACGGGTTGGGTTAGGGGTTGCGTGGCAGCCAATGGGAGCGTGTGTCCTTAATCTGTCGACGAGGGGGTCCGCAGGTGTAGTCGCGGGGGAGACCGGGGACTAGGAATCGCGGGTAAGAGCGCCCCCAAACCTGGTATGACCCCAGCCCGAGGCCTCCTGGGACCCCCGAGAACCTGGCTCGACGCGTCCCCTTAGGCTACCTGGGAACGGATTCCCCAGGGCTGCCCTCTGCTCCCGCGGTGGCATTCCAAGTCATCAGCCCTTCACCCTTTTTGCGCCCGGGCCGCGTAGACCCCCGTTCTCCTCTGGACTTCTTTTTCACACTTCCCATCCTCCTCTCTAGCCAGCTGTCCCTTTCACATCAGCCGACTCTGGGACTCACACACAAACCCTCTCTTTCCCCCATCTTCGGGTCCTTCTCCCATCGCTTCTCTTTCTGGATCTGGACATGCCTTCCTGATAAGAAATTTCCCATTTTTCCCGGTCGCCTCTGCCGATGTCCTGCTCACTTCCAGCTTGTTGACCCGTCTGCTTTCTATTGTTTCTCAGCCCTCCGAAAGAACACACTTCTCAAAGTGTGTTTGGATTTTTGGATTTGGGATTTGGATCTGAGGTTATGTTTGGAAAAGGGAGTGACACAGGTGCTAAAGTTTATGAAGCATCTGCCTATGCCTGGCACTCCAAAACATATTCAGTATCTATACCGATCCTACCATTATATTTTTGTTTTATAAAAATGGCCTTTATTTTGATCCAAGTATTGCTTTTAGAACCTTAGAAATGTCAACTCTTTTTAATCTTTATTTGCTTGAAAGTTACACATAAAATGGGAGAGAGATCTTTTATCCTTTGGTTCACTCCCTAGATGGTTGTAAGGCCCTGGTTGGGCCAGGCTAAAGCTAGGAGCTTCATCCCGGGCCTCCCATGGGGGTGCAGGGGCTCAAGCAGGGAGGTTGTCTCCACTGCTTTCCTAGACACATTAGCAGGGAGCCGGATCAGAATATGAACCAGCTGATGTTGCAGGATCCAGCTTTATCTGCCCTTTCTTTAAACTTTAAAACAACCCCGTGAGATGAATGTTACTTAAGATGATTTTACTTAAGAAGAAACAGGTGCAGGGAGGCTAGGCCTCTCTGATTGCCTTCTGGAAAGTACTAGAGCGGGGCCTTGGCTGTGGACCCATCTGTCTTCGTTAGTAACGCACTGAGTGTTGCGGAGAATGGCTGGGCATGGGTCTGCCTTGAAAATGGCATCTTTCGATCTTACAGACTCGCTCGGTTTCTAGCAGGCTTAAGAGACAGCAAAATGAGTCTGAGTCAGCAAACATGCTTATTGTGCGCAGTAAATGCAGGCTCAGCGCTGCCTCTGGGCAGAGAACTTGCTCCAGGTGATGCCCCAGCCCCTCCTTGTGAATTCGTATTTGGCAAAGGACCCTGACAGGCCCTGTGCTGAATTCGAAGGCTTGTTAGAATGAACAACCAAAAGACCAGAAAGAGGAAATCTTCCTTTAATCCTGCACCAGCGCCATTTCTCTAAGACAAGAAGCTTTTATCCTCCTGATGGGAGAATGAGGAAGACAATAATTACCTGCCTTCCTTATTTACCTATATATTTAATTCATTTATTTGAAAGGTAGAGAGGTAGAGATCTTGGGCTCACTGATGCACTGATGCACTCTCCAAATACCCGCGGTAGCCAGAGCTGGATCAGACCAGAGCCAGGCACCAGACACTCAATGAAAGTCTCCTATGTACTGGAGCCATGACCTGTCGCCTCCCCAGGTTCACATTAGTAGGAAACTGGAACCGAGAACAGGGCAGGAACTTGAACCTGGGTCCTTGGATGTGGGATGTGGGTGCCTGCCCTTTGACTACCAGGTGTCTCAAGCCACACGGAGTCAGAGGGGCAAAGCTGAAAGCTAGTGCCAGAGGGCTGAGGGCCACAGCCACCTGGAACGTTTCCAAGAGCAAGCACTGGGGCGAGATGTGGACCAGAAGACTGAGAGGGGCGTGTGCGAAGGATATTTGTGAAAAGAGAAGGAAATGAAAGGCGGATGTGGTGGGAAAGCCCTTCAGAGCCAAGTACGCGCCTGGAGACTGGAAGCAAAGACAGCCGCGAAGGCCAAGGGTGAAAAAACTTGCCTAAAACTTACACTATGTTCCCTTATGATTCTTAATCAATCCTCAAATCATTCTTGCCTGTTATTTATGGGACACCTGTACTGATTCACTCTGTTTCCCACCCTCTGCCACCCCTCCTAGGGGAGGAGGGAGCTGTGTCATCCTTGTAAGAGTCCCTCTGACTTCCCAGGGGACCTGCTTCGAGTCCCCAGGGATCCTCCTGGGGCGGGTGCCTTCCATTGGGGTGGCCAGAGAAGGGCATGGTCAAGCTGAGGATCCGGGGCACAGAATATCTCAAGAGCAAACCTCACCTATGTTTCCCTGCTTCTCAGTGAAGGAAATGCTTCACGTGTAAGAAAATCCAAAGGTGCTTCTCACTGCATTGGTTACGGTTACATGGGTGGTACAACCTTACCTTAAAAAAACCAAAAACCCGACACCTTTGGGTAAATTTGTATTTATTAGTTTTGAAAGACAGAGTGACAGAGGAAGAGAGAGGAGAGAGGCTTTCATCTGCTAGTTCACCCCTAAATACATGTGAGAGCTGGAGCTGGGCTAGGCCCAAGCCAGGAGGCAGAAGCTCTGTCTGGGTCTCTGACATGGGTAGCAGGGACTGAAATACTGGCGCTTGCACTGGCTGCCACACTGGTGTGATAGTAGGAAGCAGGGTAGCTGGGACTCGAACCAGGCACTTTGATCATGGGGAGTAGATGTCCCAAGTCATGGCTTAATCTACTGTTCCACAGTGCACCCCCCACCCTTTGGCCCCCTCCCTTTAGTTTGAGAAACAGAGACCAACGGAGAAGGACAGATAAGGAGAACATTCCCATCCATCGGTCCACTTCTCAAGTCCTACAGTGGCTGGGGTTGGGCTGGGACCAGTCGCTCAGTCCCCCGTGTAGATGACAAGGACCCAACCACTTGAGCCATCACCTGCCACTGTCTGGGATATGTATTAGCAGAAAGCTGGTTTGAGGAGCCCAGCTGGGACAAAGTGTCAACACTACAGGATCAAACACCTGCCTCTTCTCTACTTTTTTAAACTCTCTAAATCACGTAGTACACTTCGCTTGCCCTCTAATCTTGAATCATGGGGAGATTACTCGGGGGCATGGGACTAGGAGGGTCCTGGCTGGGTGCACATCCTGCTTGTTCTCTGGTTGTGTGCATGTTCCTTCCCCTAGTCCAGCCCCTTGGGGCTGGGGTTGCCCTGCCTCTCACATGGGAGATCTGGATTGAGTTTTTGGCTCTGGCTTCTGGCTCTGGCTTGGCCTATCCAGCTGGGGCAATGGGTCAGCGGATGGTAGATCTCTCTGTCTCTCTCTTTCAAATAAAAGAAAATAAGAAATAAATAAATAAAATAGGGAAGCTCTGCTCATTGCTGACATAAAGGAACAAAGACCCATTTTTTTTTTTTCCAGAAGAAATAAAAACATCTGGACTTTTATGAGAAATCTGCATTTTCTAGTTACTGGCAGAGACTTGTATTGGACAACTGCCACAATAATAGTCCAGTGCTGGGGCCCCAGGGAAGGGCTCAGCAGGGTGGATTCAGGAAGCAGGCCACCCCTGGGAGAGGGAATTCTCCCTCGGGAGCCTGTGTGTGCTGGGCAGGTGGGTGGGGTGCGAGGTGGGGCGGGGAAGCCAGCGGGGATTCAGCACTGGGATTAAACAGGGAGGAGAGAGCTGGGGGAGAAGAAAGCAAGAGGACCCCAAAATGAAAGTAGTCGCCTGTGGCAAGGGCTATGGTCTGCCTTCAGGTGCCACCCAAGTGGTGCTCGTGTCCTGCGTGGCCCAGCGGAATACAGGAGAACTTGGGCAGAAATGACATGGCCAACCGATCCCTCTGAGGCCACGGATTCCTGCTCCTTGTGGCCGGGGCCCTCTCACACAAGCCTAACAGATTTTGACCGTGTTGTTTTTTGTTTTCTCTTTGAGGCAGATGAATATAAAGCAGCCATGACTCATTCTTACCATTTGGGCAAGGACTCGGAAAAGGGCAGAGACAACCTACAACTCGCAACTCCAGAGGTCAAGTTCAGGGTCAGTTTCTCCCCCAAGTTAACATTAACCTTTAGGTAAACCGTGCCACTCCTCCTTGAGGGTTTGGTAAACAGGAGCCATTGTGGAGGGCTGGGGGAGTGGAGCTGGTCGTTCACCTGCCAGGCAGAGAGCATTCCAAGGTCAAAATTTCACAGACCTTAGTTCTCCTGCACTTTGCCAAGAATATGCACGATTGCTTGGGGATGATCTACTCACCAGGCCCTGGTGTTCTCAGGTCACAGGGAGTGCAACTCCTTCTCCCTGCTGAACCGCCACTGCTGTGCAGGGACCTGGCTGTGTGCAGTCGCTCTCCCTGGCCAACCAAGCAATTCTGCCCTCCCTTTTGGGGAGCGGCTGCGAGTGAGCATTTGAGAGGAGCACATATGTGAACATTCTTTGAAGAGCTGGACTGTACCTGCACAAGAGCATGTAATTTTTTGTTTGAAAGACAGAGAGAGGAGAGAGATCTTCCATCTGCTGGTTCATTCCCCAAACGACCACAATGGCCAGGACTGGGCCACACTGCAGCCAGGCGCTTCGAGCTTGTTCTGGGTCTCCTATGTGGGTTCAAGGGCTCAGCTTCTTGAGCCATCTTCCATTGCCTGCCCAGGTTCATTAGCAGGGAGCTGGGTAGGAAGTGGGGTAGTCAGGACTCCAACCAGTGCCAAATGAGATGTCAACACTGCAGCTGGGGCTTAATCCCTCTGCCAGCCCAGGTTCATTAGCAGGGAGCTGGGTAGGAAGTGGGGTAGTCAGGACTCCAACCAGTGCCAAATGAGATGTCAACACTGCAGCTGGGGCTTAATCCCTCTGCCACAGTGGAGCCACCAGGGCCTGCTGTGAAGTTAGCTGTACGTAGCTCCAGAGTTGGAGGACACCATCACTACCAAATGTGGTTTGGGAAAGGGACAGATTGCTGGGGGGAGGGTACAGTGATGTTATAGACATGACTGTGGGGTTGTCTGGAATCAGCAAGTTTGAGTGAGGCGGAGAGGGCATCCATGAAGGTGCTGCAGCTCTGGGGAGCCTGCTACACTCACATATTGCTGGCAATAGTTGGTTCAAGTGGCTAGAATCCCTCTGGGAAGCAACTGAATGATCCTACACACACACAAGCAGAAGTTGTATAATTGTCATAGTCATTAGCCCTGTAATCCCCAAGGATTAAAAAAAGAAGAAGTAAAAACCCCTCTCCACATGAAAATGCATGTTCTAGAACTACGGATGTCACTCCAAATTGGAAGCCACTTACATTTCCAACAATAAGGGAACATTCAGTTATAATACTGGTATGTTCAGTGAAATATTACAGTCATTATCATCAAAAGAGGTTTATGACATGCTACGTGGGCCAAAGAGACAGAACGGACTTACAATCATTTAAGAAAAATTATGCTTAGAAATGAGTAGGAGAGAAATATATAAGTCAGTCAAAGCTGCTATGTGAAGCCAAGAGAGCTGATTCCACATGCTACCCCATCCTGAATGCTGCTTCTCCTGACGGTACTTTATTTTAATAATGATAAATTGCCATACAGAGAATGTATTTTAAAAATCCAAAGTTGTGAGGGAGGGACAGAGTATAAGCAGCAAGAAACCCAGAGGTACCAGAGGGGAAGGGTTTGTTTGATGTGGGGAGGAGGTTGGCAGGATGTCAGGAAAGAAGTCACCTGCCGATCATGGGGGCCTTGCGTGTGGGGAGGCTCAGAGAAGTTAAGTGGGCCTGACAGTGCTGGGCTACCCGAAGGCCAACTAAGCATGCTCCGTAACAAGTTGAGTGAAGCAGGGCCATGACCATTCATTTTTTTTTTCCAGTTATATTTTATTACTTATTTTATCACTTGTTTGACAGAAAAAGGGATGGAGAAATCTCCCATCTACTAGTTTGTTCCCCACATGCCCCCAACGGCAGCAGCTGGGATAGACTGAAGCTGGGAGTTGGGGACTCAGTCCCCGGCTCCCACGTGGGTGCCAGGGACCCAGTCACTGGAGTGGGATCTGCTCCTCCCACCCCCGGGTGTGCCCTGGCAGGACAAGCAGAGTGGGGAGCTGCAAGTGGGCAGGCATTGTATGTAGGCATCTCAGTCTGTCCATGCCTATGTGGGTTTCATTTTGTAAAATGACATGTAATATTTGCATTTATTTTGGGGGAGGGAATCCAGGATTATAGCTTGACATATGTGTATAACCTATGCTGATCCAAGCGGGATAATTAGCATTTCCATCTGCTCAAGTGTTAGTTTTGTGTGTTGGAGAACCTTCAAACTCCTCTCCTCTAGCTATGCAGACTTGTATAATGAGCTGAACCAGACCGCGATCAGCTCCAGTGCTGCAGAAACTTAGCACGAATTGCCTCCATCTAATCCTGTTTTGGTTTTCAGTATCCCCTCTCTTTTCCTTTCACCTTAATATTGATTTTTTCCCCCCACGCTGATATTTGAAATTGTAAGCAAGCATCAAGTCTCTTGGGGCTGTGGAGATTTGAACTTTACCAGACTTCCTTCCACGTTTTTTTGTGATCCAGTCTTGTGTTTATTTCAGAGTAGGTGTGGGGTGGGATCTCACAAAACCTGCACCTGGCCCTGGGCTCGACTCGGACACGTCAGTCAACTGCAGGCCAGTCCCATCCTGGCTGTGGTCCTGAACAGGCATGCTGTGTGCGAGGGCTGGTGCGGTGCTGAAGCAGTTAACCGACTTGCTCAGCACACCTCCACCTGCACCCTCTGGGACTGCTCCGTAGGCAAGGAGCTTGGTTCTGAGACTGCCTCTCCAGGCATCCACTCACCCTAACAATTAGACTGTTTACCAGGGAGCGCAGAGCACAGCATTTCAGCTAGCTCCTGAAATCCCCGCGGAAGGGGGTTAGGGGGAACCAAGGCCAGGATTGGCTGAGTGAGTCCCCAGCGTCCCAGCCAATGGCAAAAGGCAAAGTCACGCTCTTCCCTGAGCTTTCATCCACCGGTAAATGGGCAAGTTAGCCATCATAAACCCCTTGCTGAATTGGGAAGCAATGAGTACACCCAATTCTCCCTAAACCTCGATCCTTCCACCCTGATCCACCATGTAATCATTATAAAAAGATAAAAATTATTAAAAAAACAAAAACATAACAACGTGTTGCTGGGTCTTGGAACCCTGGTTCACTACACAGATGCGCAAGGGAGGGGGTCCCCCTACAGGTTGGTCCCCGTAACTGCGACTACCTCTGTCCTCTCTCTAGGGGAGCTGGTATTTCCCCAGGGCCTGCACCCTGACCAGGGAGATGTTGCATTGCCTGACTTCTGAACGGGAGCCAGTGACCCAATCTGAGGACCGAGAGCAGAAGCCCATGGAAGATCCTAAAGACATCATCACCCTGGCTTTTGTGAGAGAGAACACTGGGGTGTCAAACGGACCTCGGAACGCCCAGCACCAAGGCAAGAAGAAGAAGAAGAGGAAGAAAAAGAGGTTAGGATTGGAGGAGAAACGGGGATCTGTACCGGCAAGAACGGGAGGGGGCTGGAGCAAACAGGACCTTGGCAGACAATCAGAGAGCCAAGGACGATGAAAGGCAGTCCACACACTGGAAAAGAATCCACTTCCAGTGACCTGTTTTGTAGGACCCAGCAGGGGTGTGTGTATCCCAAAGCCACACTAGGTTCTAACTAAGCTTCATGCTGGTGATGTGTAGAAATGGCTTTGCCACACACATGCTCACACACACACACGCAAACAGGTGAGAAGATCTTGCAGTGGAGTGAGAAGGATGTAAATAGGAGAGACTGCTGCCTTGTCCTGGCCATTCGGGATGCTTTCAATGCAGACCCAAACTGACTGGTTAGAATTTGACCACAGCTTGTCCATCCTCATTCCCTTAGGCTTACTGGAGTTTGATTGTCCAGCTGCCCTGGTTGGGGCAGGAGGGAAAAGAGAATGAGATAAGATTTTTCACTTCCCATCCCAGTTGGGAGGAGAGGGGTTAAGGTGATGATGGTGGTGAGAAGCTACATGTAAAATTAGCCACGACTGGGACACAGAATGTCTGCGGCGATGTGCTCAGAGGCCACGTCTGCTGCCCCCTCTGTCCATGTTCAGATCCACAGCCTCGGGGCGCAGGGCAGACCTGGCTCTGTGTGGCAGCTCAGACGGCATGCTGCACTGCTAGGCATGGGTGTCCCTGCAAGGGTGCCTGCCTCTGCCTTGCTTTCCTTTTCCTCTTCTTTTTCCCAGATGATTGGTGATCAATCTATCCAGCTGCCGGTATGAGAGCGGTGAGTATTTTGCAGCGGATCCCCTACCTTTTCCCGGGAAGGGGCACTCCCGTGTGTGCCCAAGGATGCAAAGACCTGGTCCTCCCAGTCCAGTGAACTCTTTGAGGGAGTTGGGTATCTCGCTGTCGGAACCGTAGGTTCTGAGCACCATGTGTCTGATCATAGTGACATGGGGGGGTCTCATCCCAGAAGAGGCAGCTGTTGCTGCAGCCAGTGGCTCACTTTTATTTTTATTTGCTTTTAGAGATTTATTTATTTACAAGGCAGTTGCAGAGAGGGAAAGGCAGAAGCAAAGAGAGAGAAAGAGATCTTCCATCCATGGGGTCACTCCCCAAATGGCTGTAATGGTCAGAGCTGGGCCAGGACAAAATCAGGATCTTCTGAGTCTCCCACAGGCATACAAGGGCCCAAGGACTTGGGCTATCTTCCACTACTTTTCCAGATGCAAGGAGCTGGAGTGGAAGTGGAGCAGCTGGGACTTGAACCTGCAAGTAGCGCTGTTTTAGAACATAGGCTACGGCTGACCCGGCCTGCAGGCTGACTTCATGCCACAGAGCACAGACTTGTTGTTGTGCTGTTTGAAGTTCAAATCCAGTTGCCTGCAGCCGGTCTTGGCCTCAGCCTGTGACTGCCAACCCTTCTCGCTTTCCGGAGCTTGAAGGCATCAACTCCCAGCTCTTCACGCTAATGGGCAGAAGAACGTGAGGGCCACTCGAAGCTTTGGTTTTTCTGCTGATTTGTTCACTGGGTCAGTGTGGCTCTGGTTGATGTCAGGGACTGGCTTTATTCCCCGAGCCCAAAGAGCTTGAGAAAAAGTCAGAGGTGTGCTTTCCAACTGGAGGAAGCCAGGGCAGGCAACAAATTCATTCCGGCTCACTGCCATGGGAATTCCCAAGCACGGACATCAGCTTCCACAGCTTCAACCTCCCTGCATTTCCCTTTCTTGGAAGTGGTGTACTTGGACAGGGCGATCTGGCCTCCAACCCTGAGACATGAACCCCTTTACCCCACACTCCTTACCCACCTCCTGGGCTAACCTCCCATCCCTTCTTTCATGCCCGGGTAGTGCGCAGGGCAGCCGAGGAGTACGGGCTCAGGGAGGGAGGCGAAAATGATGACTGGACCCTCTACTGGACAGACTATGCCGTGTCGCTGGAACGGGTGATGGAAATGAAAAGCTACCAGGTAGCTCCCTCAACCCTCGAGCTGTGCACCTGCTGGGAGGAGGACGCCCCATTTCTGTCACTGTCCCCTAGGGGGAGCTCATCGCATTCCCCAGTCCTTTCTACCGCCCCGGCTTACTTCTCTGCAGAAAATCAACCATTTTCCTGGGATGAGTGAAATCTGCCGCAAGGACCTGCTGGCCAGGAACATGAGTCGCATGCTGAAGATGTTCCCAAAAGATTTCCACTTTTTCCCCAGGACCTGGTGTCTTCCTGCTGAGTGAGCGTCTCCCCTACCCAACCCTACCCCAACCCCGTTGTTACCCTGCCTCTGCTCCTGATTCTTGGTTGCAACCCTCCCTTCCCACATGGCCTCCCATCTCTCCCCTCTGTTCAGGAAGAGGAGGGATGAAGGGTGTGTCCAAGGTTGAGAAAACACAAGGCTCTCCCTATAAAATTAGATGACAATTAGGGGCTGGGTGTCCTGGAGGCTGCGCCTGCAGTCGGGGTGAGAGTTTGTTCTGACCCTGAAAACTGTTGATTTTGAACTTGTTCCAACCATTCAACTGTGCAGTCTCTGAATCTGTAAGGACCCTGAGTGGCTCCAGAGAGTGCTGGGTGCTGGTTGGAGCTCAGGGGAGGAGCGGGGACTGATGTCCCGACTCTGTCTCATGTGGTCAGTCCTTACTTTTTTCCGTACTCGCAGTTACCCCTCTCAGATGCATACACAACTCGCCAGTGTATAAAAGTGCTCCCTGGGCTATGCTGCCCAGAAGCAGGAGAAGTGAAATGTCACACGAACACGACTCCTCAGGGTTGAGGCAGGTGTGGGGTGTGGGAAAGAAATTACACCCTCTGAGTTACACTCATGGTAAGGGCATCAGGGGATCGCCCTCCGCTGTCCACTTAGGGCTTCTGGGTCCCCGGACTGTCCTTAGCATGTCTGGAACAGCTTTCAGGGCTTAGCAGCCACCCAGAAGGGTAAGAGTTTGCTGCTCACTCAGAGGAGTCTCCGACCTTCATGTTCCCTGGGCAACTCTGCAAATCAGTGACTTCTCCAATGGCTACAGAGTCCTTCCAGGTGAAAACCAGACCCACAAACATGACCAGTGTGAGACACAAAATCTGTTCATTCGATTCCCACTCTGTCTTCCTTCTGAAATACACCTGCTTCAAAGGTCTTGTCTGCATTCTCCTCCTCTGGCTGAGCTAGGGGGATCACAGCCGGCACACTGAAGCCCACTGTGTGGAACAGGTTGTTTGATCCATTGCTCGTGAGACCTTGGGCTGAATCCGAGACTTCAGGTCATCTCTCTGCAAACCTAGAAGGTCACCCTCCCAGGCCACAGCCACTGTGGTGGGGACATGGCACACCCATGCATTGCTGCTGACCCCAGTGGATGGGACAGGTTTCCTCATCCTTGTGAAGTTGAGGTTTAGTGAAGTGAGTTTTTGCAAATCATTACACAGCTGCCCAGGGGTGTTGCCTCCTTCCAAAACCCAGGCTCCCTGTGCACTGCACATGCTCTGCTGCTTCCTTCACGGCCAGCCCAGGGCTTTGCCACTCTTTATCATCATCAAGCGCTAGTTTTGGTGCACGCATTGGTGCAGGGGTTAAGATGCCAACATCCTGCATCAGAGGGCCTGGGTTTGATGCTGAACTCTATTTCTTCTTTTTTTTTTTTTTTAAGATTTATTTATTTTTGTTGCAAATTTAGATGTACAGAGGGGAGGAGAGACAGAAAGGAACATCTTCCTTCTGATGGTTCACTCTCCAGCTGACTGCAATGGCTGGAACTGAGCTGATCTGAAGCCAGGAGCCTCTTCTGGGTCTCCCATGTGGGTGCAGGGTCCCAAGGCTTTGGGCTATCCTTGACTGCTTTCCCAGGCCACAAGCAGGGAGCTGGATGGGAAGCGGGGCTGCCAGGTTTAGAACTGGCACACAAATGGGATCCTGGCGCATTCAAGGTAAGGACTTTAACGGCTAAGCTATCACACCGGGCCCCTATGCTGAGCTCTATTTCTGATACCAATGTCCTGCAAAGGAAGTCTCCAGGAGGCAGCAGCGATGGCTCAAGTAACTGGGTTCCTGCCATCCATGGTGGAGACCTGGATTGTGTCCCCAGATGCTGGCTTTGGCCCTGTCCCCACCCCACCTATTTGGGGCTTTTGCAGAGTGAACCGGTTGGGTGAGAGCCTGCCCTGTGTGTCTCTATCACTTTCTTCGTCTTTCTGATCAGTAAAGCCAGCCTCCTTTCACAGAGGTGCCTAACTCGTATTCCCTCCCGGCTCTGGCAGCTGGGGTGACTTGCAGGCCTACAGCAGGCTGAGAAAGAACAAGACATTCATTTGTAAGCCAGACTCAGGCTGCCAAGGGAGAGGAATATTTGTCACACGGACGGTGAAGGAGATCAAGCCGGGGGAGGACATGATCTGCCAGCTGTATATCTCAAAGGTACTTCCTCATTGCCATGCTTTTCCTGGGGCTCACAGCAAGCCAGCCTGTGCCTCCCACTGGACAGAAGGTGCAGCGGTGCCAAGGAGGGCAGAGGTGGGGTGGGGCGAGGGGGCACGCCAGGCTGTTCTCTGCCTTGGACTTTGTCAGAGACCAAACCTCTGATCAGGGGTGCTGCCATGGCCCTGGGCCAGAGTGGCCTCCACCCTTGCACCCTGGTTGCTCCATCTGGTCCCTCGTGTCCAACAGAGGAGAACCGCAGAGTGCCTGTGGCTTGGGGAGGGCCCACCTCACTCGGTGATAAACTGTTGTCCCTCCACGGCTAGAGCTCAGGGGTCCCAGTGCTGTGGCCCACCATGGGGCAGGGGAAGCCTCGGCCTGGCTAGGACAAAGTGGCCAGGAGGTAGCAGAGCAACTCACAGAGTTGCAAATGCAGTGTAATCCCACACAGAGACCCTGAGTCCTCTCCTTGGACAACTTTGTTTTATTGTTCTGTTCTTCAGACTCACTTTGCTTATCTGATGGGCAGAGTTACAGAGAGAAGGAAAGATGGAGGGAAATTTTCTATCAGCAGGTTCACTCCCTAAATGGCCACCATAGCTGAGGCTGGGTGAGATTGAAACCAGGAGCCAGGAGCTTCACACACGTCTTCCCTACTTGGTTGCAGGGGCTCAATCATTTGTGCAATCCTCAAATGCTTCCACAGTTGCATTTACAGGGAGCCGGTTTGGAAATAGAGCTGCTGGGATTTGAACTGGCACCCATCCAGGATACTGGCAGTGCAGGCAGAGGCTTAATTTGCTATACCACAGCTTCAGCCCCCACAGGACTCTTTAATGCAACCTGTTTTTGTCTCCAAGACCTCTCTTGGAGGTGATTCTTTGTGCCAATTGACAGGCCAGAAAACCAAGACGTGTTGTGGCTTAGTGACCTCCTGAAGCTCACCCTTTGGGTCACAAAGCAGCTCTAGTCTCTTATCAGCACCCCTCACTCCCAGCCCACAGACTCCTGGCCTGCCTGTCTACTCTAACCCGAGGCTGTGTGAGAGCTGACCCTGCAGTGGGGAGGGAGGGAGTGGGCAGAGATTTTCCAGCATGAAGTTGTCCTTCTTGGCCACCTCCGCCTGTGTGACTCCTGTCTGCCTCCTCCCAGCCCTTTATCATCGACGGGTTCAAGTTCGACCTGCGCATCTACGTGCTGATAACATCCTGTGACCCTCTTAGGATTTTCGTATACAATGAAGGGTTGGCCCGCTTTGCCACCACCTGCTACTCTCACCCTTGCATGGACAACCTGGTGAGCTAAGGGGAGATGCTTCCTCCCGCCATCCCCCTTCGCACCACCTAGACCCCTGAGTAAATCCAACTTCTCTATATGACCATCAGGGGCTGTGGCCAGGAGAGTTGAGCCCTCTGACCTAGGCAGCATTGTCCTCATGTTCCAGAAAAGACTGAAACCCGAGGGTACAGCAGACATAGACAAGGTCACATAGATAGGAAAAATGAGTCTGACTCCCCTGGTCAAATCCGCCCAGTGCCAAAGCCACACCAGGCTTGAGGGGGATCCAGGTGCTTGAGGGGGATCCAGGCCCATGTGAACCACCCCCAGGTCTGTCTTCTCTGCCCACCCACACACGTTGGAGGTTTACTGCAGGCAGCCTGGGTACCGGTACCCACGGCCCAACCTTTGGGGGAGTTGTGGGATAGCCCTTCTGACTCCCTGTTTTTGTTCCAAAGCCTCGCTTTTCTCTTCCATGCCCTTCAGTCCCAGGGGCCACGGGAGGTTGCAGAGTCAGGGATACTCCAGCCTGACCCCACAGCTCTCCTACCTCTTCCGCAGGATGATATCTGTATGCACCTGACTAATTACTCCATCAATAAGCACAGTTCAAATTTCATTGAAGATGCCCACTCAGGCAGCAAGAGGTAAGCAAGCAGCCTCACTTTTCTTCTTCCTGTGTCCCTGTCAGCCTCAGAGCCACCCTCACAGCTTCCTCCTGGATCCTGTGTGTGGGAGGGGTTGGGGGGGGCGGGGATGGCCATCTTGGGTCCCGTGATCTCAGCAGCGACCTCCTTGCCTCTCACCTTAGAGGAGACTCCATGGCCCTTGGGACTGTTAATCATTAAAAGGAGCTACATCGTAAACCCCCGGGAGGCTGGGAGGAAAAGAGATAAACAGGACCGGTTACCCCAGCACCCTACACACACCAGCACCAGCCCTGGTTGTACTTGGCCCTCTGCCTCTTCCACTGCACCAGGGGGAGGACTCGCCAGGCCCCAGTTCCTCGCCTGTGGGTCCCACCACCCCACCCTGGCTGCTGCTGTGAGAAGTGTCACCTGACCTGTGGCTCAGCTAGCTGGCTCTGGGATTCCCCAGAGAGGCGGGGAGCCATGAGAGGAATTCATGAGAGTGTCTTTACAAGCAGCTTTTTCATTCACCCTGTGTCTGGCCGGCTCTTAATTGAGGGCTGAGGAAAAAGGGAACTGAGCAATGAGTCTGCAAAGGGAAAGGAGCCAGCCAGCATTTCTGGGAGCCTGGGGTTTGTTGGTGCCAGGCCTGGTGCTCTGCTTGGACTAAAAAAAAAAAAAAAATACTACTTCTAGAGAGAGGGAGAGAGTTCCCCTATCCACTGGTTACTGTCCCAGATGCCCACAATGATTGAGATTGGGCCAGGTGGAAGCCAGGAACCAGGAGCACCATCTAGATCTCCCTCATGGGTGGCAGGAGCCAGGTTGCTTGAGGCAGCACCACCGCCTCCCAGGGTGTGTGTTAGCAGAAGCCAGAGCCAGGCATTGAACTCAGGCACCCTGAGATGGGAAGCAGGTGTCTCGAGCTGCATCTTAACTGCTGGGCTGGTCACCCTGGACAAAACATCTTCTGTTGCTAAATTTTCATGGCCGCACCAAGGCAAAAGCATCATCACCCACCCCGATGGACTACCATGAGTTAGGGGCCATCTCCACTTTATGGATTAGGATTGCCCACGGCCACGCAGCTGTAGCTGCTCGAGTGGGTGGAGAAGCTACAGTCTGCATCCCACAGTCAGTGGGCAGTCAGTGGGTCTGGCTTCCAGGCATCAGAAAGGCAGAGGGCCCTCATGGCTCCCACAGCAGCAGAATTCCAAAGGGCATGTGGAAACGCAGCAGGTTAAGGTCACGTGTGTGTGTGTGTGTGTGTGTGTGTGTGTGTGTGTGTGTGTGTGTGTGAAGATTGGGATGATTTCAGTGTCACCCCTTTGGCCACCATGTTGCCAGAAGTTCTCCCTCCTGGACTGTGAACCCCAGCTGGGCTTTTGGCATTGGTATGTGCTGAGCAACTATATTCAGGGGAGACCTGGCTCCCATCCACCCCCCACCTGCCAGTGGAGTCCGTGTGGGCAGGTTCCTTCCAGCTCTCTGTTTCTGGGTCTGTAAGATAAAGCCATTGTGAGGACCTGCTGTGCCTACCTCACAGGGTGTCTGGGAAGTTCAAGCAACCTGTAGTAGCCACACAGCCCGTGCTGCTGCCTGCTGTAATTCCTCCTGATCCTAAGGACATGGCCCAGAAGGGCCCTCATGCAAGGGCATCTGCATCCCTTGCCTTGTACCTCCCAGGCCTCCTCTCCATACTCAGGCCTGGGTAGTCATGTCAGCCTTCCCTACCTTTACCCTAACCCCAGGTGCAGCTACTGCACTTCTCCATCCTTCCGATTTCCCATCTTTAACACAGGACAGTTACAATGTGAACCCTGGGCTGGTCCACCCCACAGATGGGCCATGAAGCCCTAAAGAGATGATGTGTGCGAGTGGACCCCAGAAGCAGTAACTCCCACTGGTCTTAGGCATTCCATTAGGCACTCCACTCCACTCTTGGGTAACCCAGTGTGGCTCTCGAGTCTCTGAGCTCCTCTCACTTCTACTGTTGTCACTGCTACACTCACAGCCAACAGGCTTGCTGAGTACTTGCAGTAGAGCCCACCCTGCTCTTAGCGTCCTGTCTGCCCCACAGTGCTCTGGTCTGTGTACTTGGGAGCTGAGGCGTGAAGAAGTTAAGTGACGTGTCTGAGGTTATTGCGCTGCTGCTGGGAGCTGTCAGGGCTGGACCAGTTTATCGGAGCCTTCTCTTGGATGTGCCCTCATGAACCTCTCCACATGCCACAGGCAAACAGAATTCCTCCAAGATGCGTCTGCCTGCAGTTGAGGACTTTCTGTTCGAAAGTTGGGACAGTCCCGTCTGCCGTCCTGGGACCATTGGTGACCCTATCCGTGGAAGTGTGTCTTTGCCCTGTGGGCAGCCTGAAAACTAGATTTACGCATCTTTGATGTCCCTAGAATCCTCCACAATGGCGGAGGGGGGACCCGAGGATCAGTGTTCTTACAGGGCAACCCAGGGGCTTCTGATGACCTCTCAAGGCTAGGGGACCATTGCCGCTGAGGTCCAAGCATGACGCTAGGTGGGACTGCTTTTCCATCCACTAGCCCTATCCTGATCACTGGTGTTTTGTGGGTCACAGCGCATGTGCCCAAGTCCAGTGTGATGAGGCTGTATCTACCCACTCCAGGCCTCCAGGGTGTGACCCTGTGACTCCTGCAGGCCTCCGCCAGTACCAACACACGTCGCCTCCAACCCCCATCCCAGGTTGCCCTCGTTCCTGCTTCCCTAGAAGTTTCTGGGCCTTGCCCTTTGTGGTCAGGCCAGAGACTGGCCGCCCTGCCTCACAGCCTGTGGTTCCCTCCCAGGAAGCTCTCCACCTTCAACTTGTACATGGAAAGCCACGGCCACAACCTGAAGCAGATATGGGGGGACATTGAAGACATGATCATCAAGACGATCATCTCAGCCCACCCCATTATCAAGCATAACTACCACACGTGCTTCCCCAACCACACGCTCAACAGTGCCTGCTTTGAGATCCTGGGCTTCGACGTCCTGCTGGACCACAAACTCAAACCCTGGCTGCTGGAGGTAAGGGTGGTTAGCTTGTGGGGTCCGCTCCAACAGTATCCATCTCTTCGGGGATTCCACCTCCTGACTCACCTGGCTGGTTGAAATCAACTTCCGGTGCCCTGTCCTCCTCCTGCTCCCGGGCTTGCTGCCTGGGGCGGCTCGCTTAGCTGAGAAGTGGCCACCAGGGGGGGATAGACGGCTGGAAATGGGAGAAATCCTCGTGCCTCCCGGAGGTCTGCACAGACCGGGTTCACTGGAACCCTAGGACATCTCATCTCCCACCAAGCAGGTGCTTTTGGTCAAAGCTGGGTTGATACTTCCCACGTTAGGTAGGAGCCACCATGCCCAGCTCTCGAGGGGCGCCTGGACTACCCTGCTTCCGAGCATCCACAGACAGCTATCCCTGCTGGAAATGGGCAAGGGAGATGGGGGCGGGGGGAGGGAAGTGTTTCCTGCTTTCCCTAGAACCCCCCAACTCCCCTATCCTCTGGGGCTGGCTGCATCTGTTCCTGGTTCAGCTTGGCGTTCAGGAGTGCTCAAGCAGCCACACCATGAGGAAAAGGGGGTGCAAGGTGGGGTGAGAGTTACTCCTGCCAGTGTCAGGTTTGGGGGTGCGGTGGGGAGTTTCCTGGGGCCCTGCCCTCCCTGCATCCCCATCCCAGGCTCTCAGGGTGGGTGGGAAGGAAAAGACTGGCTGCTGTGAGCCAGCCCCAAAGAGCAGAAGGAACAGTGGGAGCAAGGCTTTGGAAGCTACCCAAAAATCTGCAAATTGCCTCTGGGTGAAACAGACATCTAGCGGAGTGGGTAAGGTGTGGGTCCTCTCCTTCCCCCCACCTGTTACCCCTCAACCTTGGCCAGGCTATAGCCCAAGGCCATCGCTCTTGCAAGCTCGTCCTTCCCCCATCCTCTGCCTATATGAGGGCAAACCAAGGCCACCCCTCAAGATTCTTCAACAGAGACTGAGGGGAAAACTGGTTAGACCAGAGGGGATTCCACTTCCTTCTCTCCTTACTGGGCTCTGGCCCAGACCCTCTCTCACGTCCCCTCCCCCAGGCCGCGTGCCAGGTCCTGAAAGTGGGTTGAGCTGGAGATGGCATCTCATGTGCCCTCTCCCCCACCCCAATACACACATCCCAAGCTCACTGAGGGGTGGTCCTGTTCCCAGCTGCCGTTTTTTTCTGCTCTCCCAGGTCAACCACTCTCCGAGCTTCTCCACCGACTCCAGGTTGGACAAAGAAGTGAAGGACAGTCTGCTGTACGACACCTTGGTCCTGATCAACTTGGGCAGCTGTGACAAGAAGAAGGTCCTGCAGGAGGAGAGGCAACGGGGGCGTTTCCTGCAGCAATGCCGGTCGCGGGAGATCAGGTAATCAGATACCTGGAGTGGAGGGGTCTGCTCTTCCAGCTCTTCCTGCCCGGCAGCCTGTGCAGGTCCAAGCCAGCAGCCCGCAGCTTACAAAGCCTTTGCATTGCTTCTCTGAGCCTGAGGGGTCCAGCCGTGACATGCACCTGATGGTTCTCCAGCTTATAATGATGAGAGGAGTGGAGCAGTTTGGGAGGGAGGATTAGATGAGGTGAGGCATGATCAGAGGAGAGGCCCAGTCCTGTGCTCAGCAGCCACTCTCCTGCCCAGGGCCTCCATGTGGCTGGCGATGCCATCCTGCTTAGGCGTGGTCCCCTCCAAGACAGCAACTAACCGTAGTCCTGTGTCCTGCTTCCCACTAGGATGGAGGAAGCCCGAAGCTTCCAAGCCATAAGGCTGGCAAAGACAGAGAAATACGAGAGGGAGAACCATGGTGGGTTCCGGCTGATCTACCCCAGTCTGAATTCGGAGAAGTATGAGAAGTTTTTCCAGGACAACAGCTCGCTTTTCCAGAATACTGTAGCTTCCAGGGCACGGGAGGTGTATGCCCGGTACGAGGGTGTTCTCCCCCGCCCCCCCCCCCGGACCCCTGCAACAGGTGGTGGGTACTTTAGGAATGCTCCTCGACCCTGCTGGGAGGGAGCACCTCTGAGTGGCAGCCCCGCCCCCAACTCGGAAGTTGTTGGAGGAACATTTGCTCTGCACTGCCTTCCCATGTAAGGTGCAAGAGCTGGAAGGTGACCTAGGGTGGAGCATTAGTAAACTGATGGGTGGCTGTTCCTGGAAACACAACCCTGAGACGGGCACCCCCACTGCACTCCCCAGTGCCTGTGGAGGTATGCAGGTATGAAGTCTAAGAGCTGGGTTCATCCCACAGAGCCCAATCCGTCCCGTCCATCCCCACCTCAGCTTATAGGAGGGCTCATGGAGATGATGACAGGAGGGAGGGGTGAGAGAGGGCCCAACTCCCTCTTGAGACTGAGTTGTTACCGCACAATTATGCCACTTTTATGCCACCTTCCGTCCATGTCTGGGACCCACTGGCCAGAGAGCCCCTGCAGAAGAGATGATCTAAAGGGGGAGCCCCGGGCTTTACCCTCCCACCCAGACCCTCTTCCCTGTACCTGCTAGGGACTGGGGAGGAGAGAGGATGTGTTGTTGAGGGACTAAGCATCCCTACTTGGAAGATGTACTGGAAGGATGATGGTCCTCACCATCCTGCCCTTGACCTTCAGTTCCTACTGAAGACATAGGGGGAGGTGAGTCTTGTGCATCCTTCAAGGACAGTATCTGCCTCTACAGTCTATTTCTAACCTCTGGAGACACGCCTTTGTTCCTCAGGCAGCTGATCCAGGAGCTGAGGCTGAAACAGGAGAGCAAAACTTTCCCACGGAAAGAGAAGAAGGTGGAGATGCAGGGGGAGTCAGCGGATGAACACACGAGGGGCAAGGGCACCAGGATATGGCAACAGAGACAGCCCTGGAAGTGCAAGACCACCCCTTGTGCCTCCAAACAAGTAAACCCTAAGGATGGGAGGGGAGCGTACGTGAGCACCCTGCCCTCGCTGGATCCCATCCGTGGTGGGAGAAGGGTGCTGCGAAAACCGCTGCTCCGAGCCCAGACCCACTGAGGGGGCTGCATGGAGGGCTGGGCCACAGAATGGGGAGCCCTGAAGACATACGGAACCCACCATCCATCAGACAGGGCCCCCTTTGCACTGGCAGGAGAGGGTCCTCACTAGCCCCATCTCATTGCTGCAGAAGGAAAGCAGCGGTGCTGTGCTGGTCCTTGTCTTACCCTCCAGGACTAAGGTCCTGATTGTCCTCAACCCCAGTCTTGGTGGGACTTCCCCTCTCTGCAGCAGGCCGCTGGCCGAAACTTGAAAGAGAGAGAGAGAGAAAGAAAGAGAGAGAGGCTGCTCAAAACATCATCTACAGGAGACTGGCCATGGCTCTTACGAATGGCCCAGCTCTGCACCTCTTCGCTCTGCAACAAGTGGGGGATTGGTGTCCCCATGTTCTGTATTCTAATCTTTGACTCTCTGGGTCCTGTGCTCTCTCCAAGCTCAGTGGAACAAATCTGTGGACTGTTCAATCCCTGTTTCTGTCCTGGAAGACACACAGGCAGGGGTGGGGTTGGAGCAGCTTTCTATTTGTTCACTGTTTCAGTCTGTTAGGGTCAGAGACCCTTTACGAATTGGATAACATCACACTTTTCAAATGGCAGCTTCAAATGGCTCAAAGGCACCTTGGTATGGGTCATGACAAGGCCCCAGGGTCCCAGCCTCAGGTTAGACTTAGGGAGACCTAATGTGCTCCTTCTCCCCTTCTTTGCACCCACCCTTGGGAGCACATGAGGCTGCAGGTGGACAGAGCTGGGTCCCCACGGGCTGTGTGTTTGATTTCTTCCTTCCTAGTCCTTCCAGCCTTTGTCGCTGGGGTCCTGTATCCCTGACCTGCTCTTGAATGTCGGAGATGTCAAGACAAACGAGCCAGACAGTGGTTCTCACGAGAAGACTCCCAAGAAGAAAGTTGGCCCTGCTGCCCACAAACCTACGTGTGCCCGGCACTACAGCTCCGTGCCCGACCTCAGGAATTCCAGTCTCAGCTGCTCTGGCCTGGAGCTTGATAAACCCAACAGTAGAACCAAGAAGGCCAAGTCTACTCCTGCCTTCGTGTGCATATTCCCGGGTACCAGAGTAAGTGGAGGACCACGCTTCAGGGCAGCGGGGGAGGGGAGGGGTGGAGTCTTGGCTCCTGCCCTCTTCTGTGGCCTTTGACTCAGCCCCTGGGGTTGCAACTTGTGGTGCCCAGGGTGTGGAATGATATACCTGCCATATATATGTTTCCAGAAAAGCAGAGATGTCTCCCATCTGTTTGTTCATTCCCTAAATGCCCGCAACAACTGAGACTGGGACAGACTGAAGCCATGAAGCAGGAATTCAAGTCAGGTCTCCAACCCAGGTGCTCCAATAAGACATGCAAGCCTCCTCAGCAGTGTCTTTGTCACTGTACCAAATGCCCATCCCATGGAATAATATTAGAAAGGCCATCCTAGGGGCCAGTGTAGTAATTCACAGGCTAATATTTTGCTTTCAGCACCAGCATCCCTTATAGGCGCTGAATCTAGTCCCAGCTGCTTCACTTCCCATTCAGCTCTCTGATGATGGCCTGGGAAAGCAGCAGAGGATGGCTCAAAGCCTTGGGCCTACTCCACTTCTGATCCAGCTCTTCTGCTTATGGCTTAGGAGAAGTAGCAGAGGACCGCCCAAGAGCTTGGCCTGCTGCTACCCACACAGGAGACCCAGATAAGGCTCTAGGCTATGAGCTTTGACCTGGATCAGTGCTGGCCATTGCAGCCATCTAAAGAGTGAACTAGCAGATGATTTTCTCTGACTTTGTACTTTCGTTCTTTTTTGTCTCTGACTTTCAAAATAAATACCTAAATCTTCATTAGAAATTTATGGTAAGGACCCGGTGCAGCAGTCTAGTGACTAAAATCCTTACCTTGCATGTGCTGGGATCCCATAGGGGCACCAGTTCATATCTCAGTTGCTCCACTTCCCTTTTAGCTTCTTATTGTGGCCTGGGAAAGCAGTAGAGGCTGGCCCAAAGCCTTGGGACCCTGCACCATGTGGGAGACCTGGAAGAGGCTCCTAGCTCCTGGCTTTGGATCGACTCAGCTCTGGCTGTGGTGGCCACTTGGGAAGTGACTCATTGGACGGAAGACCTTCCTCTCTGTGTCTTCTGCTCTCTGTATATCTGCCTTTCAAATTAAAAAAAAAAAAAAGAAAGAAGTGGGAGAGAATGAACAAATTACCAATATTAGGAGTAAAAGAAAGCCTGTCCCTATATACTCTGCAGATGTTAAACAAAAACTAGGAGATTCACATAAATATCATATGGATGTGACTCCTACTCCAGTGAAGTGGACCCACCCTCACAAGCTGAAATGCACCAAAACTCACTCAAGATGAAACCAGTGATCTATGTAGTCTTATTTATGGCTGTTACATAAGCTTTATTTGTATTCTAAAACATTCGGAAAAAGAGGAGTGAGCAGTTGGCACAGCAGTTAAGATGCCAAGTGGGGTGCCCAGGTCTCCTATCGGAGCGCCTGGGTTGAAGTGTCCGACTCTGCTTCCGAAGCAGTCTTCCGCTAACAGGCAGCAGATCGTGGCTCCAGGACTTGGATCCCTGCCACGCGTGTAGGAGACCTGGGTTGGGTTCCAGGGCCTGACTTCAGCCTGGCCCAGCCCCAGCTCCTGCAGGCGTCGGGGCACCAAACTCAGGCATCAGAATACAGCCTACGGGTGTCCCGACAGACGTATTAACTGCCGAGCCAAATGCCAACTTGTTTTCTGTTCTTTGACGCTGGACATGCTAACGAGTCTGAAATGATGTCTTGTGGTTCTGTTTTGCCTGTCCCTGGTAATTAATGAGGTTGAGCACCTTTGTCCATTTGTCAGCCATTTGTGAATCTTTAGACAAATATCCATTCGTGTCCTTTGCCCATTTGTAATGGAGTTATTTGGCTTTTGTAAAGTTGTTGTTCTTCATATTGTTTTTAAAAATTCATTTATGTTAAAGGCAGAGTTAAGAGAAAAATTGATTTTCCATTTGCTGGTTCAAAAAGAATAGAATGTGGGCCCAGCGCGGTGGCCTAGCAGCTAAAGTCCTTGCCTTGAATGCCCCCGGATCCCATATGGGTGCTGGTTTTAATCCTGGCAGCTCCACTTCCTGTCCAGCTCCCGGCTTGTGGCCTGAGAAAGCAGTCAAGGACGGCCCAAAGCCTTGGGACCCTGCGTCCGTGTGGGAGACCCAGAAAAGGCTCCATGGACAGATCTTCCTCTCTGTCTTTCCTCTTCTCTGTATATCTGACTTTGCAATAAAAATAAATAATAAATCTTTAAAATATATATATATATATTTTTTTAAGAATAGCATAGGAAAGACCTTTTTGCTGTGCACCTTCTCAGTATGGACTGTTCTCTCTTGCAGCCCCTAACCTCTGTAGAAACCTCACCAGAGCCCACTACCCCAGGCTCCACTTCCTCGGAATCTCTGGCCAACCTGACCTTGACCACCAGTTCTGAGTGCAGCAGCCCGGAGACAGTCAGGGCGATCTTCCAGAAAGACAAGCCACCACGCCACCACATCTCCCTGCCACTCCCCCAGGAGAAAACACCAAAACCTGTGCCAGCCACGAAACTTCACAGCTCCTCCAAGAATCAGGGCCCTAGCTGGTCTTGGCTGAAGCATGACCCAGAGAAGCAGCAACAGCAGCGCCTGAAGTGGGAGCTGTGTACCAAGGCTCCGCCCAGGAGGAAGCGCTTCTCAGGCCCAGCTCACCGCAACACCATGCTGGTGCTGGGCGCCCAGTCACGTGAGTGCCTTGAGGGACCAGGAGCTGAGGGGATGCAGGAACCTCACCCCCCGCCATCCCAGAGCCAGGCGTCCTCACAGCCCCTGCCCTCCCTGAGGCTGATGGAGATGAGTCTGAGCTCTTTAGGCATCTCTGGTCTGCTTGGGAAGAGAGTCTGAACTAGTAGGTGGGGAAGGGAAACGGAAAGGAGAGGCAATGATGCTTTGTTCATTTACTTTTTGAGATTGATTTATTTTTATTCGAAAGGCAGATATACACAGAGAAAAAGAGAAATAGAGAAAAAGATCTTCTTTCTGCTGGTTCACTCCCCAGATGGCCACAATGGCTGGAGCTAAGCCAATCCAAAGCCAGGAGCTTCTTCCGGGCCTCCCACACAGGCATGCAGGGTCCCAAGGCTTTGGAACGTCCCCGTTTGTCACAAGCAGGTCTTGCTGATGCTGCTTAAGGGCATCCCATCCAGTCAGGTCCTGGAACCCGAGTGGGAGGTGACCTCCGCCAGGCATTAGTGCTGACATTGCGCATGGCTGTTGCCTTTCCAGAAAACTCCTCCTGGTCCAGGGAGTGCCACTCCCACAGCAGCCGCAGCTCTGGAAAGAAGAAGCAGCTGGATACCTGCGCCCTCCCCTCCCTGCAGGGTCCTCAGAGTGACCTACGGGTAATCGCCACCCCAGCCCGACTAGATCCCAGGCCTGGACGAATCCATGCAAATGCTGTGAGGGACACATGTGTACAGGACCAGGAAGTGTGTAGTCCCTGCCTGGCCTCTGGTGTGAGAGGATGTGAGAAGAACTAGGTAGGTCAATCCACATATTGAGGTGTCACCAGGGGGCTCTTGGTTTTTCTGGAATGCTCTTCAGGTGAGAGGACAAGTGGATTCACAAAGTTACACAGGTAAGTTGGCAACTAGGAGGCCTCAGTCAAAACAGGACTCATCCAGTCCCACCTCAAGGAACACTTTGCCTTGTCTGGATGACTACAGCTGTGACCATAGTTAATGCAGGTCCTGGAGGCAGAACCATGGTTGGTTTTTACACCATTCAAGCTATGCCTATAGAGCTTAGGCATGTATCACTTGCCCCAAAAGCTGACTTTGTCATGGAACATACCAAAACAACAGCACCACGGAGCATGAGATGATTTGGAACCAAAGACTGTGGAGAGCCATGATTACACGGTGGAGGAAGGACATGATAACAGGAAAAAGGTCCTATCAGAAGCCCCTGGCACTGCCTGGTGGAAGGGCAGGAGCAAAACCCTAGCTAGGGCAACTCCCATGGAGTAGGGGGTATCTAGGGAGGCAAATCCCCCAGCCCCACTGCCTGAAGCAGGCTGTGCGCAGACACCATAGCTGAGTCCTTGGTGACCAGTGACTCGCTGGACGGGAGGACATCTCCTGGGGAGCTTGTAAAAATGCAGATTCCAGGGCCAGGGTACACTCCCAGGATTTTTGCCTCAGTGGAATGGGGACCTAGGAATCTGTGTAATATGAAGCTCTCACACTCAGGGAAGAGGTAGATCTGAGTGTTTCCTCAAGTTGCCCAGGGGGAAGGATGATGTGGGCGACCCTGCGAGGTCACACCCTTGGAGACTCAGACACGAGAGGGCCCCAGGAGGTTCATCTTTCGAATGTGCCTCTCGTGTGGGCAGGAAGGACTGTCTTACAGGAAGGATGAGATGTCAGCTTAGAATAGAAATGTTTATTCCTTAAACTTGTTGGAATAGAATAATGATCAGAAACCCCACCAAGAAAGGGAAGCTGGTGACACTGAGGATGTGAAAAAGGCCTTCTTGGATTGACTTTTGACCTTGGGTCTGAACCCTAGCAGAGAAGGCCAACCAAAGCACTTTGGGTTCTTTTTTTTTTTTTTCTGTCCCTTCAACCCCCCAATATATTCCCTTAATAATCTGTTTTGTCCCTGTAAACTCTGGCACTCACGTGATTGGGTGTCCAACCCCACCCTGGGGTGATAGTCTGCTGGCCACGAGGAATGCTGCTCCCAGCGGAACCTTGGTGACCAGTTACTGTTTTTCTTTTATCTCACAATTTTTTTTTTTAATCTGAAAGTCACAGTTACAGAGAGGAAAAGTCAGAAAGAGAGATCTTCCATCCATTGTTTTACTCCCTAGATGATCACAATGGCCACAGCTGGCTAATCCAAAGCTGGAAGCCAGGAGCTTCTTCCAGGTCTCCTATATGAGTGTAGGGAACCATCCTCCACTGGTTTCCCAGGCCACAACATCTCACAACATCTCAGACCAATTGAACCGATGCTACACTACTGAGCTGGTCTGTCTTTTCATTTCTTCCTTCCTTCCTCCCTCCTTCTCTCCCTTCTTTCCTTCCTATCTTCCTCCCTCCCTTCATTCCTCCTCCTTTCTTCCCTCCTTTACTTCCCTCCCTCCTTCTCTCCATTCTTCCTTCTTTTTAAAATATTTATTTATCTGAAAACAAGGGTTACAGAGAGAAGGGAAGGACAGAAAAAGATCTTCCATCATCTGGTTCACTCTCCACATAGCCTCAACAGCTAGGGCTGTGCCATGCTGAAGCCAGGAGCTAGAAGTTTTATCCAAGTTTCCCATGTAGGTCCATGGGCCCAGGCACCTAGACCACCCTCCTTTGCCTTCCTGGATGCATTAGCAGGGATCTGGATCGAAAGCAGAACAGTCAGGACTCAAACCATGTGCCCATATGGGATGCCAGTGTTAAAGGCAATGGCTTAACACCTTCACACAACTCCAGTCCCTTCCCTCCCCTTCCCTTCCCTTCCCTTCCCTCCCTTTCCCTTCCCTTCCCTTCCCTTCCCTTCCCTTCCCTTCCCTTCTTCTCCTCACCTCCTCTTCTCTTCTACTCTCCTCTCTCTCCTCTCCTTCCCTCCCCTCCCCTCTCCTTCCTAGTCTCCTTCCTTCTCCCCTCTCCTCTTTTTTTTTTTTTTTTTTTGAAGAAGGCAGAAAGAGAAATAATAGAGCTAGATGATAGAGAGCATTCTTCCATTGGCTCACTCCCCCAAGTACCTGCAGGGAACCCAGTTGTTCTCCCAGGCAGATAGCAGTGACCCAGTTACTGAAGCCATCGCTGTCAGCTCCCTTCAGCTCCCTAGATCCATGTTAATAGGAAGCTGGAATTAGGAACAGAGCCCAAACTCAACCCCAAGATGCTGACATGCGATGCAGGCATCCCAGGTGGTGTGCTAAATGCTACAGCAATACCTGATCTTATCTGAGAGAGAGAGAATCTTGTATCTGCTGGTTCACTCCCCCAAGTGACTGAAGCCAGGAGCCAGGAGCTCCTTCTAGTTCTTCCACATGAGTGCTGAGACCTAAGTAGTTGAGCCTTCACCTGCTGCCTCCCAGGGTGCCCACTAATAGGAAACTGGATGGAACATGGAGGTGGGGCTGAAGCTCAGACACTCCAGCGTGGGATAGTTGCTGCACCACAGCACTTGCTTGCAGTTATATATATATATTTTTTTCTAATTTAGTGCTAATCACAATAGTGCACTTTAGCAAAAGACAAAACAGAAGCTCAATGAACACAAAAGCACACATTCAGAAGCTTCCACTGGGTATGATTGGCAGAGCAAGGATTCATGTGAGATGTTGTGGACTGTCAAGCCCATGAGGCCCTGCTCCCAGACTCCCTGTGTACTGGGCTTGAGTAACAGCCCCAAGCAGTAAACCTGGCTCTTGGCCAAAGGTGCTCGTGTGCACAGCAGAGCCAGCAGAGACCATGCACGACCTAGAGTCTGGTATAGGGGACAGGGGTGTCTCTGGATTCCAGAGCTGGCCCCTGAGGGCTGCAAGCCAAATAATGCCTCCTAAAACTTCTCTCCAAGCCACAAAGGACTGACATAGAAGAAAGAAAGCTCAAAGGAGAAATTATACACAAGAGACTGCCCCGCTGTCAACACGTAGCTCCGCAGTTAGAGCAGGGTGCTGGGGGAGAACAGCTCTGTGTGTTGTGTGGCAAAGGATGATTGAGCAAAAGAAGGCAAGAACAGGACAGAGGCCCACGCCATGTGAACGTTCCTGCAGCGGGTTCTGGTAGTGGGACCTCCTGTACTTGGGGTCTGTACACCACATGTCATGGAATCCCCGCCGTGAGGCTGTGAGGCTGGCGAGGCCACGCCTGACCTCTCACAGGTGACAGACTCTGGTCACAGAGCCCAGCGTACATTCCTTGCTTCTCCTTTGCCAGGAAGGGGAGTCCTGCCAGAGTTCCCCAGCTGGCCTGCTGATGTCCCTGTAGTCCCCTGAGCCTTGCCATAGCCCCACCAGCTGCTGAGGCCAGGGTGCACATCTGAGTTCTGGAGAGTCCTAAAGATGGCTGAGGCCTGGTCAAGCGCAGGGGAGGCGGACCTAGCTTCTTGGGATGGTAGTAATGAGCCCCCCAGTGCACCCCTGACCAGGAGCTGGACCAAGACTTACTGGTGGGCACCGTGAGCTTCCCATACCTTAGCTCAGCCTGAGGGCACCTTTGTTCAAATAAGGACAGCAAAGCTTGTGCAAGGCACAAGGCTTCTTAACCACTTCCACCTGTTCTCCCAAGCCTGTCATCCTGGTTGCTCTGCAGTGATCAGCAACATGTGTTTGGGACCATAAGATTGCGGAGCTGAATGCTGGGAAAGGCAAAAGGAGTTTCACCCCAGAACTTCCTGACCCCATGTGTAGGAATAGTGATGATGATGTTGATGGTGTTGGTGGTGGTGATAATGAAGGTGATTTAATTGACTAACAGACTGGAGGCCGTTTTCAAGGAAAATCTTTTAAAAATCATTTTGTGTTTCAGAATCAGCCATTGCTGCTTCTGACTCCTAGGAAATGATCTCTGTCGCCCACAATTTCCACAGCAAGAAGTGGGAGTCTCATTTCCTCATCAACACCCTGGTCTGATAAATGCCCTCCTGTTGAGGGCAACAGTTGTACCCTCGCCGCCAGCCTGCTTAGCTCACAGTGCTACGAGCCCATGACATCCAGGACTCCATCGGTGGTGCTGTCCCAGGGGGCACACCCCAGCGGCCCTCCTCCAGAGCGCTGCCCAGAGTGAGCAACTGACAGGAACATGTGTTTCCAAGGCAACTCACATTTGTCAGGAGCCAGGGTCATCCCAGTCCCCGTCCTGACCTGTGTCAGCCATTCTTCCTTTCTAAAGATATAAGACGGGGGCAAGGCTGGGCAAGAGGGAGACCTCGCAGCCCTGGGTTAAGAGAACTGGGGCAGTTACAACTTCACCAGAAAACCAGAAAACCATCATACCTCTTTCCTGGCCCAGCCAGCCCAAAGCACCCCACCCCTGATTCCTGGGAGCCCACACTTCTCCTTGTCCTGCCCAACTCAACCTCATCAATGAAGACAGAGGTAAGGTGATGATGCCCAGCCTGCATGTGTCTTTTCTGTTGGCCTGCAGGAAGTCCACCCCTTCCCTTCTGGTGTACACTGATGAAATAAATTGCTATGTTCAAAGCCAGAAGAAGCCTTACTCAGAGAGAGAGGAAGGGAGATGGGAGAGACAGTTTCCCTGACAGCCCATCACTAAGACAGCTCCAAGCCTACCAACCATGCATCAGAGCCTCTGCAGAATGTCTTAGGGTAATTGGCCCTCAGTAAACCCTGCAGTCCTCACGGGGGGGGGGGGGGACCTGGTCCCTCTGGAACCCTGTGCCCAGCATGAGGCCCCAGCGGAGTTCTGGGTTAGCATTTTGTAGTTTCTACTAGGCCCCTCTCTGTGCTTTCCTGGGATGTGACCTCCGATTTGAGCGTCACTTGCCCACCCTGAGTTGATTGGTTGGATCCTTG